CAGCAGTTCCTGTATCCTGACAAGCTTTCATTACTTCCTATATATGCAGATAACCTGGCCTGTTCTGGGCATCCTGGCTATCGACAAGCTTGCAGACATGCTGTGCCCTGGGCGTGTGATACCCTGGGCGTCAGTGCAAAGCAGATATCATCAGCCTTGAAGGGGAACAACATTAAGGGTTAGACGTAGTTGTGACTTCTGGGGCATGGAAACAAGTACAGAGGGATGGTCGGTATAATTGAGGGCCTGCTACATACTGCTAACTAGCATCATGATTAATGTTTGACCTATGTGTCGGGATGGAGTTGGCATGCATGCCTGCTCCTTCTGCACATGTGTATGCATGCTACAACATGTACATATCTCGAGCCATGGTATTGAAAGGCTGTTGTGTGATGGGTGTTGTTGCTTGACCCACTAGGATGGATGGTTGCCCATTGCAAATGGCTGCAAAGCCTTGAATTCATGCTGCTGTAAGGCAGCCAGTTTGATTGGTGTAGTAGACCATACGTAATTATTAAACCCTCTATGCATCATGGGCTTATGAAAGGCTGCAGCTGTGCTAAGTAGCCACTGTGTACACATGTGTTCATAACATGGTATGAATATCCTTATGGCTGTTATGCATTGTTCATCAAGTTCCTGTACATGTAGTACTACTAGTGCTGGTGTGTCGTACATATACATATATACGTAGGTCATGAACTTAGCAGGCAGCATTGTTAACACATGTGTGTATACACTGACGCTTCCGGAGGTTCCAGGATTGCCACCAGTCAAGGTAAAACGTTTTACCGATGGTGGAAGGTAAGAGTGCCGCTATTTGATGAACAGTAACGGCCTGGGATAATGTTGACATTAGAGCTGACCAGGAATGGACTCCAGCCGCCATTAAGTTTGCAGATGTACATGTCGTTGGATGACGGTGGTGGGAGCACTCCTGAGATGTACCCGAGTGATTCACTGAGAAGATGGCTAGGGTGACTGGATGAGGGTGCCCTGAAATACCTGGGTAGACAGAGTTTCACCTGGTAGCGACCACCGGTGTAGATATGCCCGCCTGTCCCACACATAATGTATAAGGGGTTGTGTTACAAATGTGGAAACGGTTGATACCCACAACTGAGATTTTATACATGTCATTCCAAATGTAACGATTGATTATATATCATGCTGTTCGTTAAATGATGTCATTCCATGCTACATGGCAATATAATCTTCCGATGACAATCTGGATGCACCTATTTATTAAAGAATCAATAATTTGGCCTAAGAATGTAAAAGAACACCCCTAAGAATGTAAGAGAATACAGAAGGCTGCTGGCCCTAAAGAATGCTAAAATAGTGGTTTTATTTCATAAGAATGAGACT